GTGCTCCCCCATCCCCCTGCATCCACCCCGCCCGCCCCCCTCCAGCCATCAGGGGAGCCCCAGCTGCCTTCCCGGGGCCCCCCCCTCAACACCTGCCCTCGTTGCCTCACCCGCCCTCATCTCTGCCCGCAGGTGAATCGGAGCTGCTGGCCCTGTCCGCCAAAGGCCGCCTCATGACCTGCGGCTTGTGCAGCCCCGAGGACCCCGACGTGGAGCTGACGCCCGCCGAGGCTGGCCGGAGGATTAAGGAGCTGCTCTCCGGGATAGGCAACACCTCGGAGAGGTACGGGCAGGGCTGCTCGGCGCTCGTGCTCTTCCTCTGCCAGCTTCCCAGGCACCAAGCTGCCCTTCTCTGCATCCAGAGCACCCACCGCTCCAACACCGACCTTTCCGGAGCACGGGAATCGCCCCTCCCTGACCTCGATAGGATAAAGGGAATATTTAAGGGCAGCCCCCCCTCCTGCTGCCTGTCCCCCTCCGCGGGGCGCAGCCGTCTCCGGCGCTGCGGGTGGGCTGGTGTTTACAGCCTCGGCGGCAGAAGGTGGGAGAGGCAGGGTGCCAGGCGCTCCCAGACGCCCCGGCACGCTTGCCAAGGCGGCGGGAACAGGCAGGGCAGGCACGTGCCTGCGGCCGTCTGCGGGTGTGTGATAGGGCCGAGTGTGTGCGTATGTGTATGTGTGTGTGGGGGGGGTGTCCCCAAATCCCCTTTCGCAGGGGGGATTCCCGGGGTCTGGGTGGCTGGAGCCGCTCCTTGGGGACAGCTCAGCGGATGGGGGGTCACGGGCAGAGCGGTGTGGATGGATCCTGGCTCCGAGAAGGAGCCGGCGAGTTCCCGGGGGGGCTCAGGGCACCGGGTTCCTGCCCCGGGGCTGCTCGGCTCGGCGGTGGCACAGCACCCTGCGGGCAGCAGCCTTTGGCACCGGCCTCTGCCAGGTCCCCGTGGCTGACCCAGCCTCCTGGCCGCCGTCCCTCCTGCTGTTTCAGCGCCGACGTGTTGTCCTTGCAGAGTTTCCTTCCTGAAGAAGGCAGTGGACCAGAAGAACCGAGCCCTGGCCAGCCTGAACCAGGTGATGAACGTGAGCGCGGCTTTGCTGTCCAGCCAGGAAGGCCAGAAGCCCATTGCTTGCACTGTCACTGCCAACTGGAGCTGCCTCCTGCTCCAAGATACCATCACCATCTCCTGTCTGCTGGAGAACTGCAGCGAGTACAGCCTGGAGGAGGGCTGGACCCTCTGCGTCCAGCTCCTGGCCAGCCCCTGTGCCTTAGAGGAGGAATCTGTGGATTCGGCCACCACCTTCACCTTCCCCATCGACCAGCTCCTCCCTGGGAACAAGAGGGAGCTGACGCTGCCCCTCGGCTCTGCTGCGGACACCAAGCTGGACCTGCCTCTGACCATCTCCTGTGCCCTCTACTACAGTTTACGGGATATTTTGGGCAGCGGCTCCGACTCCTCCGAGGCCCTGGATGACCTCCTGCCCGACGACTCGCCCATCCTCTCCCCGGACAGAGAGGGGATCTGCCTGCCCCTCAGCGAATGCACCATTGACATGCTCCAGTGCCTCCGTTTTGAGAGCAGCCCCCCCGGGCCGGATGCTTCCCCGCC